TTCCACAATTTAACAAAACTTGTAATTTTGAGATTTGTACTGAAGAACACATATTTCTTCATCTCTGAACACTATCAGTAGTTTGTCCTGGAAGCCACAGTGATCTTTTAAGTCACATGAAGTTGTTTTGAGAATACTTCTGGATACTATATATATCTGTAAACCAGCTTATACTGACTTACCTACATTTCAAAGTCCAATGTAAATAAATGTGTATTGTTGCAAAATTAAATTTTTAACACATAACATATTTAACATAAATATAATATTTAACATAAATATTTAACACTTGTATTTGTTCAGCAGCTTAAATTAAAATTTTACATATTTTACTTACTGTATGATTAGTGATTCATATAAGGTGAAATAACTTCATGATTGCACTGTGCTGGAAAAATCCAGCATGTGCCAAAATGCCAAACATCTTTGTTAACTGTAGAATTAAGAATTGTTTAACTTGTTTCAATACTGAATATAGAATGAAGGAATTCTGTATGGATTAATTATGAAAACCTGCCCTGTTTATATTGGTTTTAGCATTGCCCTGTTCCTTCTGGATGTTTTAAATTATAGCAGTGTACATGTTATGTTTTAGTGGCTATGGTATATGAAAATATGTATGTGTATTGAGAATTATTTTTAAAATCCTTGTGTTGTGAAGTAAATTATGTATTGATCAGAAAATCATACACATGTTTATCTAAGTGGCAAGCACCAGAATATTGACTTGAAGGAAGATATTCTAGTGATTTTGGAAGTATAAACGTGTGGGAGTGTTTTCACACTCTCATAGCAGTGATGGCAAAAATAGGACAATAAAAAACAAGCAAGACATACCATAGACTGTAGCATCACAGAAAAGCAAAAGTCATCAGGACTTCAGCAAGTCTGTGTAGGCATTTAATCTGATCCACAGCAACCATACTGTAACAGTAGCCCTAAGAGGACTGGAGGAAACCTGCAACCTGTGTCAAGTTTAAATTTCTGGCTAAGAGAAGTAATTCACAAACTTTCTCCAAAGATCAGGGCATTGTTCCTCTCATTCCAGGAAAGAATCCCTATTTGTTTTTCCAGTTTGCTTATATAGAGATTAAAGGATGGTTAAGGATTGTTAATGGAGATACAAAATGGCCCACTTTCCTATCCATTGTACTGTGATCAGGTTTCTTACGTAGCATGGTGGAGCATTATTCCACAGAAATGATTAGTAAGGAAGAGTTACTAGAAATACAACAATCCTTAATGATAATCATGACGAGTTGCTGGAAAACCCTGCTAAATTAAAGCATGATGCATTTTCTCTCTCTTGGACCCTGTAGGTCAAGGCAGGGTGGTGTAGGGAAGAGCCTGAGCCCTAGAATTAGTTTAAAATACAAAAGAAAATTAACAAAATATTGTGGCTTGCTCATTGCAACATAGGCTAACAGCAGGTTTGCCTCTTGGACATGGAGATGCTTAAGTTACCTCCACAGAAAGAAATATGTCTGTGAGTGTTCAGACTGTTCACTGACTGAAATGTCAGGTAGCACTAGCTTAGGTGTGGTGCCACAAAACTGCCTCTGTACAGCTTTTGGACTTACTGTATCCTAATGTGGTGGTGCCTTTATGAATTTGCAAGCATGTACCTGCCATAGACATAAGGTCTCTGTGCTCTGCCGCTCACTGTAGGCATTTTTTCCATGAGGTAATGATTTTTATTGGTCTTTAAGTCAATAGATTTGTATGTGAAAGACTAAGAACTCAGAGAAAAAATGAGGCTGGGTTTTCCTTCACTGGTGAAGTTAACACTGGTCCTGAGAAAATTCAAACAGATCATAAAAAATGTTTTTGATGAGTAGTGTTATAATTGAAGTAATTTCAGTATTGGGCAGTGCATAGGAGGTCCAATGAGTAGTTCCAGGTTGAGAGGCAGCTGGCAGAAACAAGGACTCTTTGGAGCAAGAGATGGAAATAGGTTGTTATACCTAAGGATTTCTTGCTCATTTGAAGGAGAGAAATTTAAATGTATTTAAAAGAGAAAATATGAGGAATTAGGTAAAGAGGACAGGGAAGTAGAAGTAATCTAAAGCTTAAGGAGACAACTGTCCTGACTTCTGTGCATCATAAAGACATAATTAATATAATTATTCTAGGACTTCAGTGAAATCTGAAAAGGTTGTGTTCTTTTGAAATAAAATTATTTGTGGAGGAACTGTCTGTAATGACTTAATTTCTGTTATATCTTGACTCTGGAAAATAACTGATAAAGCCCAATTTAAGATACTAATGGTTAAAAGTATTAAGCTATTTATTGGTTGGGGTTTTTTCCCCCCTGGAGTTCTGTAGCTTTGTTCTGGCTTTTTAAAACTTGGTGGTAATTTTACTGGACTGTTTTTAGAGCCAGCTACTGTATTTTGTATCCATCAGCATCATTTCATTGGCTTGAATGAAATAATAGTGCTTTACATAATCTGTTGACCTAGCCATTTTCTCTTGAGAGCTTATCATCAGTGAAACAATAGAACAGGAGAAATATGCATAAAAATATTAAATGAAATTTTCTTTGGTTGAAATGTTATATAATAATTTTGCTTGTATAGCGTCAGTAAAGCCAAATATGAGGTCACTTGCCTAGAGAAATCTTCATTTGAAGACACAGAAAATTCAGTTCCCTGCAAAGACAGTACAGAATCTACCTGATCTGAGTCCACAGTTTGTTCATAATTTATCAGTGTGGGGCTTCCTTTTTTAGATACTTCTACAGCAATGAGAATATTTTGTGGGGCACAGTTTTTTGGGTTAGAGAGGAAAATAAATAAGCTGAATATAAGCCTCAGGTATTTTTCCATGGTTTTAAAATATCTAAGTGATAAATTTGCACTTCTAAAATACAATGAAACACAAACTTACTGCCTCATAGTTAAAGGTCTTCTACTTGAAAGCCTGAAAGTTTCTTTAATATAACTAGAACTCGATGGGGAATTCCATCTAGGAGTCTGCCTAGGTACACTGATGGAGTAGCAGGAATAGGCACTTAATTATTGCTCAGTTTAATTGAAGAGTTATGATACTGATTTCTTTAGTTTTTTGTAGGCTATCACATTACTTTTTTCCCCCCTTATTGATGGGAGTATTACTGAACTGTAGCAAGGGAACAGAGGAAGGATTTATTTTCTTCTTAAAAGGAGTTTGGCAGGTTTTATTTTATCTAAAGATAAATTTTGCTTTTAAATAAAACAAACCAAACCCACAAAGTCTATCAATCCTGTTTTATACAGGAAGGTTTTTTTTCTGACTATATTAATTTTTAAAATAAGTGCAATATTAAGGTCTAACTTTGCCAAACATTGAACTTTTCTGAAGTGTTCTCTGAAATTTGTACCTGTTTAAGTAAAGACAAATATTTCCAGATGATAGAGATGCCACCTCTTTTGAAATAAATTTCCTAATGCATAACTATGTTATTGAAGCAAAGAAGTTTAGGACCTAAAATCCTTTTTACTACCATAAATCACTTTTTTGTCCAACTGGAACACAAGAGCCATGATAATAGTTCATTTATTTATGTATGGGTTTGAGGCATTATCCTTATTCCTTTCCTGAGCTTATTTGAAATGTTCATATAACAAATTTCTGGTATGTTCACTTACAACCAGTTAATTAGAGTAATTCTCCAAAGGGGTAGAGTAAAAAGAGTAATGTGATTTTAATAAAGGCAAGAGAGAATACAAAAGAGAAAGTGGAAGTAATGAGTAAAGAAAGGAGAAATAAAAACAGAACCTTTGGTTTTGCCACTTCAAGTAGTCCTTGGATGAATTGGCAATGGTGGGGCTTACCTGAAGCACAGGCTTATTCTAGTTGCAATTTTGAAGTGTCTGTATATGGTCCTTCTGTTAAATGGAAGTTGCATAGCAGTACTAAGCCTGCAGAAATACAGCTGAGGATTACCTAAACTGTTTGTACTTTTTAAAATGCTCCAGTTTTATTTTAAACTTTTTAAGTCAGTATATTTCTCAGAGCTAATTTTGTTTAAGCCAACAATCTCCAAAACTATTCCTTCCTTCCCAATATAATACTCCCAAAACTTAAATTTGCCCTAAATATTTTCATATAGTGTTGTTTCTTTGCTAGAATACATATAGCTGTCTCAGTAATTGATATGATCTGTGCAGATGGATACTTTTCTATGTAATGAGTCTACTTAAGCTTAACACAGCTAATTTTGTGCTCCAAGCAGACATGCTCCTGCTGTGCTGGCCCACAATCAAGTACAAAGGATAAGTGATTGAATCACATTGAGATTAAATAACTTCTCTGCTTATGTCAAATTTTTATCATAGTTTGAAAACTATGATGTTTAAAACATCATTTTTAAATGAATCCAAATCAAATTAAACATTTCTCTATTATCATGAGTTATCCAATATTGTAAGTAATTGAGTTTACATGACAGATTTCTTAGTCCAGCTTTGGAATGGTTATACACATTCATATTGAGATATTAGGGGAATGCAAGAAAGATGGATAGAGATCATCACCTGCTGCATCAAGTGCATTATTGCATCTTTTGGTAGTTAAGCTTGCAGACACATGGTTGTGGTTATTTTCAGGCTATTAAAAAGTGCAGCATGAAAACCCAAGTTACTGTAAAAGAATCAGTGATGTAATTGGAATTAAATGTACATAGTCTGTTAATGTGTGTCAAAGAATATTATATTTCTGTATCACAATAAACAGTGGTAGAAATTAGTAACTGTGAATTCTTGGTTTCCATTTCAGGTTAAGAGGTGGAGAACTGAATTTCAGTTTTCATACACAAAATAATATTATGTGGATATTTGCATTATTCTGTCTTATCTTGGTTATAAATAGTGGATTAAAATCTTTATATAAAAAGCCATGAGTGGTTTATAGTTCTCTCTATTTTGTGTTTGTCTGTTTTTAAGACGTTTCAAGTCTTCAGGTATTATCTGAGATAACCATTTCTTGCTAGATCTGACAGGATTCATGTTCTCTTTCAGGAGACGCTGATAGATTGGTGTGATGAAAAGGAACTTAATTTGATTTTAACAACTGGAGGAACAGGGTTTGCACCGCGAGATGTCACTCCAGAGGTGAGATAGTCTTGGAATAGAAAAATCTGCCCTTTGGTGTAGAAATTCATGAGTCTGGAGAAGGGGGGTGATTTACTTTTTTTTTCTTTTTAATATTTCCTCTTTAACTTTACGTTGCAGTATCTGTGGACAGGTTAAGTGCTACACAACTTGGAATCAGAAAAAAGTAATAGAAAATATAGCACAAGAGAATTACTTTGACCTTGGCTTCTGACCCAAAACGATTTTCAAACTAAAATGTGGTATATTATAATGGTTTTCCAGTCCCTGTACAAAACATTCTAATTCTAAAAAAATTCTAATAGCTTTATGGCATAATTTTCCTTAGCACTGCAGTACAACACTGCTAAGCAAAATCTTGTGTGGCTTTTGTTATGTCTTGTGCAAGGAAGAGTGGAATAAGAGAGATCCTTTAATTCTCTCTTGCAGAATAGTGCATTGACAACTACTGCATTGTAGGTAAGAGCGTAAGGCAGACAGAAGGGGCAAAAAATTCTATGCAAAGCTACTATGAATCTCCTTGTCAAAAAAATCTAAGCAGGCACAGAGGTGGAGGTAATCTGTACCAGTAAATGTTGCTCAGGAAATTTGCCTACATTACACTTCTATGGAGCTAAAGGAGATGGGGAAAAATGAGAAGCTTAACCTAATGAACTCATGACCATGAGTTGTCATGTGAAATGAGCGTGTGATTATTCTTGAAGTATTTTGGTATAGTTCCAAATTAGATTAACATGAACTTTTAAAATCACATATTTTATTTGGTATGATTATGTTCACTAAAGGGCAGAATTAAGATTGAGTTGTGTTTATTTGCATAATTAAATATATCTAGATTTCTCTTAAGTACTCATGTATGTTTTCCATTTCTTAAGACTCTCAAGTTGATTTGAGTTCTTCATAGCATATCTAGAATGCTTTTTACTTACAAATGTGTTTTGTTGCATGCCTGAAGTTAATTTTTTTCCCATTAGGAATACAAAAACACATTTTAATTTCCTGTGTAACATTTGTGTAACTAGAGAAACATGTTAACTAAATGCTCCTTTCATTACTTCTGGTTTTAGATCCTGTACTAGAAACCTTGAGTAACTGAAACCTGGGTGGGGGGCAGTGTGTGTATCAGGAAATGGGAACAATGTTAAGATGAACACAGCGTGACACCTAGTGAAACTGATCTTGCAGGTTATTCACTTTGATAAAGCCACCACAAGTGAAAAGTGAGTTGGTTCAATTTGTCTCTTGCTTGCAAACTAACATAATGCTTTTGAAGGTTGTGGTACCAGGACTGTGTAGAAGGAGGGATGAATTTCTGCTTCAGTTTTCCTTTCTGCAGGGTCAAGCCTAGGCAGCAGTACCAGATGAAGCATTGTAGCCAGTGCAAAAAATTATCCACAGATTCTCAAGCGGCAATTGGGACAAAAAAGAAACAAATGAGAACTCTGCACATAAACACGTAGTATTTCCTTTACACTGCATTGCTGTTACTCAAACTAATTATCACAGGCAGGGATGATTTTTTTCATCAGTTTTGTTGAGTAAGCCATTCTGAAAATTATCTGAATTATTATTGTATCTCTGTATAATAAAAACACATTGATATAAAACTCATAAATAACTTGTACTGCAGAAAAACTGCATTGTTTTTAAGCATAATAGATGTGCAAGACTTGGACTGATCATAGCAGAAGCAAGTGTTCTGACTGTCACATTAGTCCCTTATTAAAAAAGAACTCATACAGGAGAGTCTTTACTCACTTTTCACTTAGTTAAGTTGCATTAACTTAAATCACAGTGGAGATAGAGAGTCCCAAGTTTATGACAAAGTGGTGATGGCAAGCATTGTTCCTATGATGGGATTTATTACATCATTCATTCAAACAAATGTTTTTAAGGGAAGAAAATCAGTTTGCCAGTATGTGTCATAATAAAAACATACGAAGAAGCCTAAGTTTTGTCCCCATATTTTATGTATTTTGGGTCAATGAGAAAACCCAAAATGGAAAATTCATTGTGTCAACATGAAATGTGCAATAACAAGCCTTTAGGAAAACTTGCCTTGATGTAGGAAATGGTTTTCATCCCTTGTGTGTATGGTGTTGGTTCAGCACGCTCTCATCACTGAACTGATTATGAAAGGATGTATATAGTATTATGCTATTGAGATGTCACCTTAAAGATGTTAATTTAAAACTTTAATTTAAAACTTTTAAGATTTTAATTTGATAATATTTTTCCTTAGAATATAGACAGTAGTCTGTTGAGTCATACTTCCACTGGTATGTTTCAGTCCTGCTTCTCCATAATTCCCCTGTATTTTGGATTAGAAAGTGGGTTTCTCTGTTTCTTTTCTAGTATAGATACATAATTGCTATTGTACCTACACAACAAAGGCAGTAACCAAGAATAATTGCAACCTAAAGACTCAGCGTTAATTGAATTTTATAATTCTTGATAAAATTGAAATTAAGTGCTTAGCATGATATAGCTAAAAATGGCTTCTTGGTACCTCAGAAATATGTAATTATGCATCCCAAAAAATTTGTAGTTTCCTGACTCACTTTGTCTTTTGAACAATATACCAGAACCATTCCAGGTTGTTGCAGTTGTTTCAGTGATGTGTAATAACATTTTTTTCTTGTAATGGAATAGAAGATTTTAGGAATATTCACATAATCTGATTTTCCTTGCCTGTCTGAGCCCTAAATTTATAGCCTCGGTGTAGTCAGTGCATGGAGAGGAGCATGGAGAGTTTGAATTAGTTCCTACGATTCACATTTTGGGGGGTGAAGGTCACTATTCACCACTATTGTGAATATCCTTCACTTTCTTGACGACACAACTGGAAGTGATGAAATGCATGTGTTAAAAAACCAAATTCACTCAATGGATGGCTGAATTTGGAAGTGAGTTATAGGCATTACTAGTGAATGCTGGAATTCTTAACTGTTATGGCAGTTGGTGGTAGTTTACATTTCTACTAAAGCTGAAGGGTAAGCCTAATTTTTTAGATACAACCACTTTTTTTTTTTACAGTGTAATTTCACATAAAAATTATGGGAATAGTCTTCAAATCTCTGCTGGAGTTTGCTCATACAGTCTGCTTGTTGATTTAAAAAGTCTTTGTTGCTGGACAGAGATCCAAGTATGGCCCAAGTTAATTTAGGGAACTTTAATTTTGTATTTCCAGATGCAAACATTTATTTCTTGGAACTACAATACTTCAGTGGTAATTCTTACAGAATGTTGACAACAATATACATTAACTTCTGTGAAAAAAAATTAAATAATGTTGCAGCATTTTTATCAATCACTAGGAATCCCTCTGAGATATTTATATATTTTCTTTGTTGCTCAGTACAAAGGGAAAGAAAAAAATCTCATGTATATGGGTGCTCTGCTCAATTTTCTGTCTTCTGTATTTTTACATTTATTCTTTTGCAAAATTTTACATTCAAAAAATTCACTTGTCTGTCTCCTAACATTCTTCTAGCTGTTTCCTTATCCTTTGTCTCTAGTGTGATTCTGTCCAAGTCTTTTTTTGCCCATCACTGAGACTAATTTTATGTACTTAGATAATAGCAGTAGAAATCAACATATTGTCCTCAACTGATGATAGACATTCTTGAACTGTGTGACAATGTGTATTCACAACTAGTTCATCCACTCTGCAGGTAATTTTGAGCCCTAAGATTTTAAGATAATACTTTATAAAAAACACAGAAGAACTACATGTATTCTAGCATGTAACACCAGGCAGATGTTTCCTTACAGTCTTCCTACTTTCTGAGTGTTCTGGAAAATTTATGAATGCTTCTTTCAGTTCTTGCTGCTTATATTCTTCATTATTTATGGACTGGCTTAAAATGTATTTAGACACATATATGTTTTCATTTAGTCTGAAAATATATGCATACTTCTTTATTCTTTCATCAGAGTTCTCTAGTCCATGAAAAGAAATCGTTCTCTGGAGCTCCCTTCTATTCATCAATGTTTCTGAAAAATCATACTCAGAATGAACAAAATACTCCAAACATACCACACAAAAACCAAGTTTGAATAGAAGAAAGTCTAAATTCTTCTGCAATAGGTCTTTTTATATTCAGTACAAAATTATGCCAGCATTTTTATAATTATTGCCAAATGCAAATTTTTGTCATTTGGCTCTCCCACATTCTCTAAGGTATCTTGCATGGACTTTTCTTCAAATTCCATTTTACTTCACAGAGTACTTTAATATCTATATCCTTCCATTTCTCTGTCTCAAGTAATGTTGGAAACCCTCTTGATCTTTATTATTTTCAGTTTTCATGTGTTTTGTCTGTTTGTTTGCTTCCATTTGAACTTTGGAAATGAAATAAGATGCTTATGACACAGTAGGATTGTCATGTTATAACTATTCTCTCACAGCAACACTGTGAGATTCACAGCAACATTCCATCAAAGTAACCCAAATCCAGAGAGACTTAAACTTTTAAAATAACAATTTCCATTTAATAGGCAGCAATTTAAACTAGAAATAATATATAGGAGGTTTTTGTCCTCCCTTGTTCAAATACTGCCTTTCCAGAGCAGCAGGATTTCTAGTATTGCTTGTTGTGGATATAGGACTACTTCTATTATTCCTCAGCAATATTTTATTATTGGCACTGGACCAAAAGAAAATAATTTCCATTTTACAGACTGTCACTTCAGGATGGCTCCATAGTGTGGAGGAATGAAGCCTTCATCTCACATGGGACATAAGTAATTTGGCAGGAATAATACGAAATTGTGCAACCTGTAATTACCCAGGCTAATGTTTTAGTCTTTCACCCTTCAGTATTCCAGGTACCCTCCAATTTAATAACTATTTTAAGAAAATATTTTTGTAGTCTCTTTTAAAACTGTAGCTTTTCATACGTCTTAATGGAGGTCTTGCTCTGAGTTAAGTTTGATTTCAGAGCTGTTGTATAACAATATGTGCTGTGTATGGATGACACCTGACCCTGTGATTTGCC